CAAAAGTGGATACTGGGATTTTCTTGCTCTTTTGGAACTTGGGTGTTGCCTTCAGCTAACCAAAGCCCAGCACAGTAATGACAACAGGAATCCCTATTGAGAAACCTGGTGTATGCAGTACAGGTTGGGGAAGAGCTCCAGGAGCTATATACTATAGGATGGTGCCAAGAGACTTCAGGATGCACACGGATATGCCATATTTAAAAAATTTCTGGTATAAAACAAGCCTCCAAGCAGTCCGGAAACCTCCTGGGAACTAGACTTGCTAGTTTTACAGGTTTTCTGGCTAATCAGCTGAAGGTAATCATTGCTTGTTTTTGCTCTTCTGCTATATGAATCATTTGTGTGTATCTATTTTTATTGAATTTCAGTATGTCCATGAAAGAACTTATCCAAAAGCTTTCATGTTGTTCTAAATATCTGCTCTTGGCCTTCATGAAGACTTTCAAGGGGTAGTGGAGGAAAAAAAAAAAGAAGTTATGTTAAGACACGCATCAAAATCCAAGGTATTTCTCTAAGATACTCTTCATGCAACCGCAACTGAGGAAGCTCAAGTTCAGCCTGGATTTGTGGGTACAGGCACGCACAGAACTATGGGTGTGTAATGGCAGCCTGAGAATAGGTCTTTTGCACTGCTACCCATGTTGTCCGTGTGTATGTTCTCACCTACCCCAAATCTGAGCTACAATTAGTTAACTTAAACATGAGCATTTTAAATCATTAAATTGTTTTAACTGTATCTAGCATTATTATGTTGTATATATTGAATGATTATACATGATTATATAGAATATATATATAGTTGGTCTTTCATGGGTGAGCAAAAAACATTTGAATCAAATAGCTATAGTGTACTAGAAGTGCAATAAATACTGGAATGAGACACTTATACTAACTTTTTGGCCAACTGGAGTGAACGTAGAAAACATTTTTGGAGGTACAAAGCTTTAAAAGACAGGCAGGAACTTGTTCTGCTGTAATTTTATAGTATTAGCAAAAGCCCGTAAACTTATTCCAAGGACTGTGGCTCTTACGGTGTTAAAAATAGCCTAACACAAAAGCATTGTGCCATGTGCTGTCTGCAGGACCATTCTTACTTCATGAATGGATTTTCTGTGCTGCTTATCACCAAAGGGTCTGACAGGTTCACAAGCATCTAGAGTGAAGATTAATGTGTTTTTTTTTTTTTCCCTAAGCTTTCAAATTACAGAATGAATGTTTAAAATATGAATAGAAATAATGTTTCTAAAGCGCTTTGTATCCCACCTCTTTGATTAATTACTAGAGCTAGAATAGTATTGCTGCTCTTTTGCATGAACAGAACGGATACCTGAAATAAAAGATTTAAAAGTCCTTTGGCATTTAAGATCTTCTCAGCTACAGACCACTGGATCCTTAGACTCTGCCAAGCCAAAACAGTTACTGGGCAGTCTGGTTTTGTAACAAATGGCTGTGTGTACTTCAGTGTAATTTAGGCAATAATGAAAAAATGGTAATCTACCACATCTTTCTTGTGGGGGTAGAAGTGGGTGAACAGGCAGCTATTCGAGCTATTTTTTTTTACAGTAGTATGTTTAGACAGCAGCAAAGCTCCTGAGTGCTTGAAATTTTTATCCATGGACTCCATATCCCACCAATGCCCTCAAAATCCCAGCTCCCAGCCAAAGACGATAAATGCCTCTTCTCCAGAGACTGGAAACCTCTATAGCTTTCATCGGTGTCTTGGGAAGGCCCAGTCCAGCTGGGGTGGAGGAATTTTATTATTCTGCTTGCTGAATTACGTATCATTTCTGCATTCCACCTGTGGCACGGGCAATAAAGAAGGTTAGGAAAAGCTAAAGCAAATGATTTTAAGTGAAAATAATATTTCAGCATGTTATGTGAGCACTTTTCATTAATAAATTATGAGCTTCCTTGCTTGGGTTTGGTCCAGCTTGGAGCTCTTTAGTTTCCTGAACTGAGTTTTCTGAGTGGCTGTGGCAGTCCTTGGAAGTCTGTCCTTTGGTGGGAGAGTTCTCTGCTCGGGCTCAGGGGTGAGGATGCTTCTGAGGGGCAGCAAAAGCCATTTACCTGCCACCCGGCCCCATGGCAGCGTCATGCTGGCCCAGCACCGCCACAGGGGCGGACGGCAAGGAGGGCACCACAGCACCATGCCCATTAACTAAAATAATAATGATACCCAAGCCACTGCCAGAAAACAAAACGAAACAGTATGTATTTGCTTATTACTTGCTGGTTTACCTTCAACAAAGACTTCACAATAACCACAGTTTTCTAACTAGGGGGAAAAACAACTGTTCAGACAGGCCGTGGGAGTGAGGATGGCCCTGGCCTGCCATCCTGCGTGTGCGCTGCTTTCTCAGCAGATGGTCAACCCCTCGTGAGACATGCTTATTGCCTCCTACGGGGCAGCTCTCAGCACTTCTGTTTTATTTGCTCAAGGGAGCTTGAATGGCTGGAAATTGTGCAGCTGGGGAGTCTGCATGTTCAGAAGGCAGCAGTTATTAAAAGCGATTGCATTTCCTCCCAGATTTCTCCTGAGACCAGAATCAGTGGAGATGTTAAACCTTGCTTGACACCCCAGTTGGATAATTGTGGGTGTGGGAGCTAATCAGCAGAAGATGTCTCCTCAATTTAAATCTTGTCAGTTAGTCAAGATTAGGGCTTCCTGTACCGAGCACCATTAGGTTGGTTGCATATCAATGTGCTTGTAAAGATGTCCACAAAGCCCAAATGTAGCAGTAAGAAAGAAGTTAGTGGACATCAAAGACTGAGAAACTAAACTACACCCTTCCATAGGCACAAATCATGTTCTGGGTTGGCAGACAAAAATGTGTACTCTAAGGCAAAATCTACATAAATATATACCCCTGGAATGACAACACGGTTCCAAAAATTTTAACTTTCTGCTACAGGCAAAAGAGAAGGAAATTTAGCAAAATCAACAGTTAGAGAACCTTTGCTTTGTTGCTGTTTGCAGTAATTAGGGGGAAAAGGGAAGAAAAGCTGTGATTCAAAGAGAGATTATTGCTCCCCTCATCCTTCCCTTCCCTTCCCTTCCCTTCCCTTCCCTCTCTCTTCTTGTTTCCCAAGACTGAAGTTCTCAACAGCGCCTGTCTTCTTCGTCCTTGCCTCAGAGCTCAGTTTTCCCCCAGATTTCGGTCAGCCCATTTACCAGCGCCCAGACAAATTCCTTAAAACCAACCAACGCCCAGATTTTTAGCCTGATGATTTAAACTTGGGTCTTTTTTTTCTCGTTTCCTTCTTCTCCCTCTCTCTTCTTGTTTCCCAAGACTGAAGTTCTCAACAGCGCCTGTCTTCTTCGTCCTTGCCTCAGAGCTCAGTTTTCCCCCAGATTTCGGTCAGCCCATTTACCAGCGCCCAGACAAATTCCTTAAAACCAACCAACGCCCAGATTTTTAGCCTGATGATTTAAACTTGGGTCTTTTTTTTCTCGTTTCCTTCTTCTTTGCCGTGGACGCCCAGCTGTGCACAGGTGGGTCCGTAGTAGCAAGGTGTGGCAGCAAGAGCATTCTTAAGGCACTTAAGCACCAAAGAACCATGCACTTAAATTTGATGCTTAAGTTGCTGCCATGGTACAAGTGAGCACCCGAGGGAGAAAGGAATTGCGGGAGTAGCTGGAAGGTGAGCTTTTCCATGAGCCTTTCCCTCTGCTTTGCTTTCTCGAGTGTCCTACCACAACACCTTCCTGGTGCATATATTTTCATCCTTCTATTCCTGTCAGCCTGCCCGTCTGTCAGACCTTGGGACTAGTGCCAAGTATCTCTGAGCTGGTGGCACTTCTCCACCTTTAAAAGGCAAAATGAAGAAGGTTCATACCAGCTGTCGGAGCAGAGGATATAGCTCTCCGGGGCATGCGGTTCCCATATTGGGTATTTTTTCTGAATGTGATAGTGAGGTGATGGGTCACAGCCCTGAAACTAACAAAAGAGCATGTTTACTTTTCTGAATGCAGACCTGACTTTGCACTTCATCATTTCTGGGCGTTATGTATGGAAATCTTAAGCTCTCCTTAACTGTTTTGAGGTTGCCTGAACTTATTGTTCATCTACTCTTGCCTAGGATTTTTTTGCATGTTTATGCAGGTGCCCAGAAAAGGGCATACACGTGCAGGATGTGTAACTCAAGGAAATCTACTTCAAAAGTAGGTAACTTCAATGCAGTCCCCTCGTGGCTGCCAAATCCGTAAGGGCTCAACAGCGAACATGCTCTGCAGCAGTTCTGTGGACTATCTACAAATTGTGCAGAGATTTAGTAAATGTATTCCTTTAACATTAATAGGCATGTTTTGGAAACATTCAAGAAGCTTGTGATTTAAGTAAAGTACAGGAATGCAATAACCGGTTAGGTGTTTCATACTTTTATCTTCTACTTAGACAGTATGCTGCGCTCTCTAACTTATTTTGAAACAGAGGTTTTTTGTTGTTCCGATGAAAACAATTTAAAATGGTTTTAAAGATAAAGCTGCAAAGCCAACAACAAAAATAAACAACACAAATTGATTGGATTAATGAACGAGCTCATAGAGCTTTACCAGCCCCCGGCTCCCCCATATAAATAAAAGTGCTAGAATCTTTAAATAAGCTTCTTAAATGTTTTCAGTAAATTGTTTTTTTGCCTTTAAAAATGTGACTTGCTCTCCTTCACAAATTAAATATTTCATGTGTAAATCTGAGTCTTTATATTCAAAAAGAGAAGGAAAGAAGTAAATTTCATCTGCATCGTGCCTTTTTTCTTTGTGGTGTGTAGACTCTATCAATGTTCACATTCTCTATATAATACAAATGTTGGTGAGGTATTTTTCAATTTTATTTTGGTAGCGTTTTGTATTATTATTAGTGGGAGGCTGAGAGAGATTCCTTTTAGACTGAGATAGCAATTAGGAATTTTGTTATATCTCTGATTCATTCACCCTCCCAATCTTAATCCTCTGATGAAAATGTATCATATTTTTCAATGTTTTCTTTATTGTCATGTAGGTCTGTATTTTCATGATTGGTATATATAATGATAGAGAACCTACTGGGATCTCAGCTCAACATCTTAAAAGTACGGGATCAACATCTTGTGCAGGCAATCCAGCAAATGGGATATCAGGATAGTTTATAAAAGAACCTCAGATTTTCATAATGATCTGTGCTCATTCTTACCGAGGTTCAAGGACTGGAGTGAAAACAATTATGAGGAAGATTTAGGCTATGCAATAGGAAATATTTTGTAATCATAATGTTGGCAAAGTGAACATAGTTCTTTTTGGACATTAGTTATGTTAAAATAGATTTTCAGGACTATGAAACTCAAAATTCTCCTTTTTTGCTTTAAGGGTGATAATGCGCAAAGACGTGTTTGGTGCTGAGTCTAGTTGGATGGTGCTGAATCTAGTTGGAGGCCTGTGGCCAGCGGTGTCCCCCAGGGCTCGGTACTGGGCCCAGTGCTGTTCAACTTGTTCGTCAATGACTTGGATAAGGGGAGAGAGTCACCCTGAGCAAGTTTGCAGACGATACCAAACTGAGTGGAGAGGCCGACACTCCTGAGGGCTGTGCTGCCATTCAGAGGGACCTAGACGGGTTAGAGAGCTGGGTAGATAGGAACCTCATGAGGTTCAACAAAGACAAGTGCAGGGTCCTGCACCTGGGGAGGAATAACCCCAGGCATCAGTACAGATTAGGGGTTGACCTGCTGGAAAGCAGCTCTGTGGAGAGGGATTTGGGAGTCCTGGTGGACAACGAGTTAACCATGAGTCAGCAATGTGCCCTGGTGGCTGAGAAGGCCAATGGGATCCTGGCCTGCATGAGGAGGAGCGTTGCCAGCAGGTCAAGGGAGGGGATCCTGCCCCTCTGCTCAGCTCTGGTGAGGCCGCACCTGGAGTACTGGGTGCAGTTCTGGGCCCCCCAGTACAAGAGGGACATTGAGCTTCTCGAGAGGGTCCAATGTAGAGCCATGAGGATGATTAAGGGACTCGAGCATCTATTGTATGCAGAAAGAGTAAAAGTCAGCTGGCCCTGTTTAGTCTAGAGAGGAGAGACTGAGAGGAGATCTGATCAGCACGTACAAATACTTGAGGGGAGAAAGTAAAGAGGATGGGGCCAAACTCTTCTCAGTGGTGGCCAGTGACAGGACAAGGGGTAATGGGTACAAGTGGAAACACAGGAAGTTTAATCTCCATGTGAGGAAGAACTTTCCTGTGAGGGTGACAGAGCCCTGGAACAGGCTGCCCAGAGAGGTTTTGGAATCTCCGTCTCTGGAGATCTTCCAAACCTGCCTGGATGCCACCCTGTGCCACATGCTCTGGGTGTCCCTACTTGAGCAGTTGAGTTGGACTAGATGATCTCTAGAGGTCCCTTCCAACCTTAACCCTTCTGTGATTCTGTTTCGTTACAGAGACAGGTTTTCCTGCATACTTTAGTCTGCTGCCCATTTCCAAAAGGCAGCTTTTAAATACTGATCAAAATAATCCTTTAATAAGTGAACTGTGCAGAGTCATGTGTTCGGGAAGTATCTGATCACCTTAAACTGTCTGCATCTCAGACCTGCAGTGTGATACTTCATTGCTTAGCATCATAAATTAGGGAACATACTTCTGCAAGATCAGGAATGCACAACAGCATTTTTTATTTTATTTTATGTCTTTCCAGACAGGAAAATTGTGAATCCTGGTTATTTTTTGCAGCCTGTAGGCACACTGGTAATAAAACTCATGGATACTGTGATTTAATTGAGAGAAGGGGAAGCAATCGCTCGAGTCATATTTGAATGCAGTCAGAGGTCACTATATGGATGACATTATTTGGACCTTCTTCAGTCATTTTTTTCCAAGGCATCAAAAGGGTACAGAGAGGTCACTATATGCTCTGTGCAGTGTAGGTATTTTAAACAATTTATGTGGTGTTTGCCTATTCCACAAAATCAATGATAACTTTATACATACTTGATCAGTCACATATAGTATCTGTTACTTATTTTTCAGAGTCAAAATCTTGCTAGGATTAAGCTGAACTTCTTGCTTCTTTGGGGTATTGTGGTTGTGGTTCCAGGATGGATTAAATGGGGTATTTTTGCTTGAAGATCAAGTTTTAGAAGTGAAAGAGGCTGCCAAAAGGAGAACACCACAAATGCTCTATTGCAGCATGTCCAAAGGCTGTGTTTAGCCAGTGTATCAGAAATAAAATTACCAGTTTCTGTAACAGTGCCAGGAAAAAATGCAAAATCTTGTGTGTTGCTATGAAAAGTCTTTATTTCTCTGCATTCTGTTCTTTTTCATAACAGATTTTGTGAAATTTTCGGGACTTCTGTTGGCAACATTGTTTTCTTGGTACTTGGGATACTTTCTCAGCGCTCTTGTACCTGATGAGGTGCTATCAGCATCTATCACTAATCTTCAAGATATTGGAAAGAAACCAGTGATAAGGGGTATATAATTTTTTTCTAGTTTTCTAATTTCTTTTTCTAGTTTTACATGTAGCATTTAACAAATCATGTGCTGTTCACCAAAGAATGAATTAGTTGAATAAAGTTAATTAATTGGTGTAAACCTGAATTATTCCTTAGGCACAGACCTTCAAAGCTGCAGCTTTGATCCTAATTATATATAGGAAATATATATACACATACATATATATTTATATGCATATATTAATATATTTATTTACATTTTACAATTAGAGTAGATTTGTTGGATCACTAATAAAACGTTGTGGTGAAATTTTCATTGTTGTTTTTCCCCTTTAATCTGAGTGGGTAGTTTCTTGCATACATTTTTCGCATTTTATTGCTATGTTTTCATATGAAAGACTCAACATTACAACAATAGTTATTTATTTTAAGTTATTAAGCAAGGAAAAAATGTATTGGTAGGAATTCTTCATCCTTATAGCCCTTGCTTTCTGTTATAAGAAATAATGCTAATAGTATGATCTGTCTCAAATCAAGAGTATATGGGACTTTTTTTTTCCCCTAAATAATCTTTCTTCTGGTCCTAGCAGCAGTTTGAAAATCAGTGATACCTTAAAGCCCAGGCAGATTTGCAGTAGTGTTGCTACAATACTGGCAAAGTGGCAGGACTTGACTCTTTTTTTTAAAAAAAAGAATTAATCTCAGTGTGTTGACATTAGGTGGTTCTTTCTCTGTAGAGGCTGCTTTTTTAGCATTCAAAAAAAGTCTTCTCTTTTTGCTTTTTCGTTTTTATTTCTGGTGTTTCAGCCCCGGCACCGAAGAGGCAGAAGTGTGATCACTGGTCTCCCTGCTCACCCGGGAGCTACGCCTATCGAGTGCTCAGTGGTGGTGGCAAGGAAAAGCTGGCGAAAATTTGTTTTGAGGATGAGCTGTAAGTACCAGCCAAACCACAAATCTAGGCGAGCCCTTCGTAGTATGAGGAGGGGTGTTTCATAGCTCCTCCTGGGGGAAAAAGGTTCTCCAGTAAAAGTATATGCAGAGAACGACAACCATTGATAGCCTTTGGTGTCCTCCCCTTTCAGTGCTGCTAAGCATGCCCTAATTCTGAAGCCTCTCAGTGGGGAGTTTTCTGTGCTGTCTTATTCTGAATTACTGCCTTGTCCTTTCTAACTTACTTTTTAATGTTTTGTGCAAGCCTTTCTGCGTCATGCTCCATGAGTCCATCTTCTTCTTCGCAGTTTTCTCCGTTCAAACAACCTTTATGATGATGATTCAAACCAAGACAATCTATTGTATAAAATAAAGACTCAAAAGAAATGGTAGATAACTTAGAGGTAGAGGGTTTGAACATATAACTATACTTTTAAAAGCCTCTTATTTTTTTCTCTCACTACTGCTTGTGTGTTCTTCATTTGAAACAACTCAGTGCTGTCGCAGAGATTACTGCATTAAGGCGGATTCTGGTGGAGGGGATGTGTTTTCCTCTAACCAGCACTCTAGTTTCTGTGCAGTTTACCTGCCATTGCTCTTTCTCCAAACTGTTTGATTAGGTTTCGTTTCTTAGCTTTGATCTTTTTATTTCTGAATTGTGGTAATCTGAATTCTTCGAAGATTTGCCCTCTGAGCCCTTTAACCTGAGACTGAAAGATCTTTAACTGTTAATGTTTTACTGATGATAAATGCGTTCAGATTTATTCTGAAGTTTATCTCATTTTTAAATAACAAACTAGCAAGTTATTTACTTCATTCATCTACAAAAACTGCATTAGACTTCATTTCAAATCGAGTTAGCTTAATTGTCAGAGTTTGGGATAGCCAGTTTGAAAAGCTGTAAAAAGCCCTGATCAGCAGCCAGCGCCTTCTGTAAGTCATGTTCCTTTGTGGTTCTCAAATTGGACAGGTAAAATGACTTCAAAATCCTGAAATGATCTTTGTGCAAATGCAGTCCACATAAAATATATCCTCAGAACCCCATTTACTTTTGTGGTCTAGTTTCTATTTTGTGCTTCTAGCTGCATTTGTACGAAGTATCTTCCCAAACCATTCTACTTTGCAAGACTCCAGCCCTCCAAATTAATCTGTTTGACAAGTATAAAGTGCAAAATTTTTAAGCTATAGCTCTTGCGTGTCACGAGGTCTTTAATTAAATAACTGAAAGAAAAAAAAACAGGAACGTCAGAAAGTGACTTAGCATGGGTAAATATTATTTTTGGATAAGACCTTCTGGAGGGTGATATCCTACTGAGATCATATTTATTTCAATTTCAGGCTCATAAGTGAAGCAAAGGGTAATGTTGGAAGAGGTATAAACATTGCCATTGTGAATTGTAAGTAAGAGAATAAATGATAAAGATCTGTTTATACCGGAATGACTTTTTTAAAGTTTGTTTTTTTACTAGCTAGTGTGAATGAAAAGGAAATAGTTACAAACTCAGACTCTTGTTAAGCTTAAGTATTTCGAGAAAAAATCTTTTAAATGAACAAAACTTTTTCATAAGCTGTATAAGCAAATAGATAGCAGGTAAGTAAAAGTGGTCTACCTTTATGTGGATGTGTAATAGTATTTTATTAGACAAAAGTATAACTTCTTTTTAAGTAACATGGGAGAAATACCACGGCCTCCAGTAGTAATACTCAATATGCAGACTCGGCCCTTGGTAAAAAAGTGTATTTGATAATGGATCCTGAGCAAAATAAATGCACAAATGCTGGGGGGGAGAGAAAAAGAGGAAGTTCAGCTGTGTGTCCTTTCAGCTTTGGTCACAGACTGTTTTTGTTCTGGTGTCTTTTATCTCGCGTATTGCCTTAGCAAATCCTTGTGCTTGGCTAAACTTTTATGCTTTTAATGATATCAGCATGCTAAATTACACTAACAAAGTATCTGTATCTTTTTTTTTCTTTTTTTTTGGATGAGTGTATGCTTTTAAAATTTCTAAGAAGGAATTGTAAAAACTCTACAGTCTGCAAGAGGTAAACAGTTAAAAACGAGTTTTTAGTACACACCTGTAAACTAAGAGAACAAATACTCACCCTGAACGTTTAAGTAAGTAAGATTATATCAAATAGGGGTAGGGAACTAGTATTATCTTTGCATTTGACATTAGTGAGGAAAAAGAAGTATTATGTCAATTTTTTGTGTTCACATTTTTAAAAGGCTGAACAACCATTTTCTTCATCATATATACATTTCAGCTACCTTACATCCTTACCTGCCACTAAATCGGTCTGTGATCTACAACCAAATTACAGTGAAAAGTATTTTCTGCATATCTTCTAACTAGATCAGCCCAGCTAATGACTTTAATACATATCCTGTAGCATCACACTCATTCCATAAAGATAACTCTTTTTTCTCTGTATGAATAAGGTCCTTTGTAAGAAAGAAGACATAATTATTAAGCCCAAACATCTCAGAGAGGGAGAAAAATAATTGTATCTCTCTGCTGTCCTCACTGAAGTCTTTTCATTTTTTTTTGTTCTTTGCTGAGAAGACCAGTTCTAGAATACTGTTTTACCACTTACAGAATATATCACCTTTTCCCCTTATCAACCTGATAAACTCAGCTTTTAGTCCTGTGTTTGGAAGAACTTGCCTCTATGACTTTGCCATGTATGAACTGAGAGTAAGCCAGAAAGGGAACAAGAACTGCTGCATCTTCTCATTAGAAATGAGCCGATAGCACTCTGAATGGAAAAAACACTTTCACATACAAGGGTGTGTGTCTTGAATAACCATCAGTTAGCATGGATTTAGAAATCTGGAAAGTGCTTCCCATTCTACAGGTCTTGTGAAAATGAAAATTCTCCAGTCTCACCAGCAGCATAATTAACCGTGAATATTGACCAAAATGTCCTGGAACGACAACATGTTTGCATACCCCACTTGTGATGTAGTCATGATGCCTGAGTGCCCAGTTTCTGTCCACAGAGATACAAATGACTTGAAAGTTGGCACATCTGAAGCACTATACAGAACAGTATTAGACCACTTTTTAAATAGTCTCAAATTTAAACCATTAGCTCATATTTATAGTTATGACCTAATATTGGTCACTATAGTACATGCACATATAAAAACACGGAAGTTCACAAAAATCTTAATTCATTCTTAAAAAAAAGCAATGAAAATATTTTAATTACATTTGATGACTCAGTTGCAGTGTGCTGGGAGACAAGTGAATCCATTTAGCTGAAAAAGGTATGTATTAATTACCAATGTGATTTTATTTGACAGCTTTCAGGTCTGCCCTCGGATGATGAAAAGAACTGATTTGTGAAGAATGTTCTCAGCTGATTGTGATCATCCAAACCTTAAATTTCCATTATTCCAGATTTCTTCCAATTTCAAAGTTCAAGTAAAGCAAAAAAGCTCAGAAGCACAATAATACTGAATATTGAAGAGGCCTAACTGTAGCTGAAACTGCTGTGCATGCTGATTAAATCTAATCACTTTTACCTTATACTTGCAAACCTTTTTTTTTTTT